TCAAATTGGCTATAGTAAGTATGGGTGGGAGCCATTTGCATATAGCAGATAATAATTAAGAGCATTTCACTTGTGTTCTGGTTCTTTAAAGACTAATTTCCTTGTGATAATTACCACAAAACCATTAGGCAGCACGAGGCTAATCAATTTGCTGCTTGATCAAATTACAGCATAAAACTAGTGTGAGTTCATTTAATTAAAAATACTATAAATCCAAATCGTACACTCAGATTCTTAATTGGAGCATTAAAAAAAAATCTCTTTTAATCCACAGAGCGGCAGCAGATTCTTCCTAATCGAGTGTGCTGTGAGGAAAAAACGAAAGAAACCGTTCCTGCGATCATATAAATGAACTATATAACGTTTATTAAAATATATAAAAGACAAAATACATATATGCATAATTATATCCATGATGAAATATGCATATAGAGTATAATAATTATACAGTAAAATGTGTTTACATATATAGATTTGTTTTTATACATATAGCAAGATATTTTTGCATTAAAACTGGCAGTGGTGATTTCATACTTCCCCCCCCTCCCCATTAATAGGAAACCCCTCACTCCACAGCGCACCTCCGGGAGAAGGAGGCCTCTGTGAGAAGCTCGAGAGCAGCAGCACCTTTACACCTGAGATCCATGTTTTGGAAAAAGGTCTCACACAGAACGTTATAGCTTCCAGGGACTTTAAGCTTCAGAAAGAGGGAAAACAAGGTTGTTAAAAGTTAAAAGTCATCTGATGTGTTCTTCTGAATGTGTGTAACGAGTGCAGCCATCCCAGCAGAAAATCTACAAAAAAAAAACAAAACAAAAAAAACTGTGCCACACATTTCTTAACAATAACATCCTTCTGGTCCAATATTATCTGCCTTCCTCTAAATCTCAGGATATATCTGTTTAGCTCGCAGGAGGAAGATTTTTTTTTTAAAAAAGGAGAGGATCCTGGACGGAGCGTGAGAAACTCCCCCCAGTGGGATAAGTCCTTCAGACTGGTGTGGTTGGTTGTGGTTGGTCCTGTACAGCTTCAGTCACTGCACGCTGAAGGCGGTCATGTCTGGTGGTAGTGGTGGTAGTGGTGGTGGTGGTGGTGTTCGTGGTGGTGGTGGTGCTCGTGGCGCTGCACCATCGGAACCACGAAGCCGGGGCTGCCGGGAGGGCCGGACACCTGCTCCCTCTCCAGGCTGGGCAGTACCGAGGGCACCGGGGGCTGCTGCTGCTGTTGCTGCTGCTG